AAATAATTTCTGCCTCATTGATCCTTTAAACTCTAACCATGTTTTCTATCCTTGCAGTGATAGATGTGGATTCTTAAAGGAAAATTTTGACACTTGCCCTTAGTTCATCTGTGGGGTGTGGGCGTTAGTTTGGCCAGAATTTAATGGCAATCCTGAATTGCCTTGGTGAAGGTGATGTTGAGCTGCTACCTTGAACCGTTGCAATGTAGGGACTTCCACAGTGCTGTTAGGGAGAGATTTTCAGAATTTTGATAATCTAACAGTGAAGGAATGAAGAAGGATGTGGTGTAGCTTGGAGGGACACTTGCAGGTGGTGATGTTTCCATGAATCTGCACTTGTCCTTCTAAGTGGTCAAGGTTGTGGGTTTGGAAGATGCTGTGGAGGGAGCATTGGTGAGTTACCATCTTAAAGACTACCACACACTCTTCTGAGCATCAATGAGAAGTGGATGGGCACCACTGCAGATTTGTGCTTGCAGATGGTGGGCAGGCCTTAGAAAGTTGATGTTGAATTACTCACTGGAGGATTCATAGCCTCTGACCTGTTCTTGTAGCCACGTGGAACGGCTGGTCCCGTTCCATTTCTGATCAATGATATTAATAGTGGAGATTTAGTAATGCTAATGCTGTTGAACAATGATATGGTGATACTTTTTTTTGTTGGAGATGGTCATTGCTTGAAACTTGAAACACAAATCCAAGCTCAGAATCATGAGTTACTCCCCCTGTTTCATTGGTGTCTTGCTAAGACTGGAAAGTCAATGATCTATCACTTATAAATGAAACAGTTGAACATTGTACATGAGTAGAAAATCAGGTGTGTGAACCAGCTCAGTCAGTGCTATAGATTTAACTTTGAAGAATACTTTTTTATTCTTCACTGGGTGCAAGGACATTAACGGAAAAAAGTTGGACATAAATTTGGACTGTGCCCCCGATCTTTAAACTTCCAGCTTTCTCAAATTAATGGATGCTTTATTTATTTTTCTCAGAATTCATTTGGAATTATTGAAGCGAACTCCAGTTTAAACTGCAGATACTCAAGATCTGAAACACAAAAACACACTGCTGGAGAAACTATCGGGTCTGGCAGCATCTGAGGAGAGAAAGCAGTTAATGTTTTGAATCCATTGCCCCTGGAGTTTCTCCAGCAGTCTCTTTTTAATGTTCAAGTTTACATTATTAGGGTCATTTAAAAATGAGTTAGGTACTGCTGTCTTGTGACTTTATTGTTCAGCTTTGGACTGCAAACCAGGTATTTTGTGGCTAGGATTAAGTTTCTGCTTTTAAGTTCAATTGGCTTATGGTACCCATTTAGAAAGTACTTTTCTCCCCTTCAAGTTTGCACCCAAATTTGCATATTATTGGATATAAAATTTGCCATAACCCAGCAACATGTTATAGAACATCTTTGAAAATATTTCTAAAAATATCCTTTTGATAAATTCGTAATTCATTGTTTTTAAACAAACAATTAGCTAGTTACATTAAAGGGCAGAGACAGTTGTTTAAAATTTAAAGAAAAGTTTTAACAGAATTGACATGTTAAAAGCATCAGCTGAATTTTATGGGTAGTTTTTTTTATAGAACTTTTTCTATGGCCTTCAAATTGCAAGTGGTGGAAACTCCCAAAGGTGATTTATTTTTTACTTTCATGGTATGTGGGCATCCCTGGTAAAGCCAGCATTTGTTTCCTGTCCCTAACTTCCACGAGAAATTGACTGAATTTTACTGCCACCTTTAGTAGGGAATGCAGTGTTACTAAGAGAAAAGGGAAGACCAGAAACAGAGGTGTAAAGATGTATTTTTAAAACAAAACGATTGGAGAAACGCAGCAGGTCTGCTAGCAGAGTTAGTGTTTCAGGTACAGTGACCTTTCAGAATTGGACCCAAAACATTAATTCTGCTTTCTGTCCACAGATGCTGCCAAACCTGCTGTTTCTCCAGCAATTTCTGTTTTTGATTCCAGCATCTGCAGTTTTATTAGTATAAAATGTTAAGTAACTTCGTAGCAAAAAACTTTTCAACAAATTTGTTACTTGGCATGGCACAGATATCGAAGTGCAAAATGGTTTAATATCCTTAACTGCTTTTAGCAAACTTTTTTTTTGGCAGTTCCTTATTGTCAAGGATGACTTGCTTCCACTCTGGCAAAAATTGCTAATTTGATTTGTGTCCCTGACTTGCCATATGGCAAGGACACCTACAGACTCCTGCTAGTTGACTACAGCTGCACCTTCAACACCACTGTCCCCTCCAGACTGATCTCAAAACTGCATGACATTGGTCTCAGCTCTGCCCTCTGCAATTGGATCCTCAGCTTTCTGACCCAGAGCGGGTGGATAGCATCAAGTTCCTCAGAGTTATGATAACCGATGACTTGTCCTGGACTTCCCACGTAAATGCGATAGCCATGAAGGCAGAACAATGGCTCGTCCTCCTCGGGCAGCTTACGAAATTTGGCCTGTCCATAAGGTCACTCACCAACTTCTACAGATGCACCATTGAAAGCATACTGTCCAGGTGCATAACAGCCTGGTATGGCAAATGCTCTGGCCAGGATCATAAGAAACTACAGGTGGTGTGCACAGCCCAGACCATCACAGAAGCCAATCTACCATCCATGGACTCAATTTACATGACTCCCTGCTGCAGAAAAGCGACCAACCTCATCAAAGACCCATCGCACCCTGGTAATGACCTTCATCAGGCAGAAGAGACAGAAGCCTGAACACATGCACAAGCAGGTTCAGGAACAGCAACTTTCTGGCTGTTATCAGACTGTCAAATGGACTGTAGCCTCAAATAATGTAACCTGTATGCTTCCATCTTTTTGATCTGTACATCTTTTGCTTGCTGTGATCTGCCTGTAAACAAAGCTTTTCTCTGATTTTGTCACGTATCAAAATAATCTACTCCAAAAGGTTAGCACTGCGTAATGTTATATTGGCTTAACATTTTTTCATCTCTTGAATTGCAGCTGAAATATGACTAGATCTTGGACAAACAGGCTAACAACAGTGGCTAGGTAAAACATCGAGGTTTTTCCCCTTTGCTAATTACGCATCTTTACAGTAAATGCTAAAGCAAAGTACTCAGTTGTATTTGACATACTTTCATTCTCAATAAGACCAATTTTTAATCAGTGTCTTCTAAGGTTTTGGAGTAGATTTGTAGCTCGGGTTGTGGGTGATGAGGTTGGTTGGCTCGCCGAGCTGGTTTCTTGTATCGCAGACGTTTCGTTACCATGCTGGGTAACATCCTCAGTGCAGCCTCCGATGAAGTGTCGGTGTGTTTTCCCGCCTGGTTTTTAAACTCTGGGGTCCTTTGAGATGGATTGCCTCACTTCCGGTTTTCCTTCGTAGTGGAAAGTATATGGGGTCGAGTTCAATATGTTTGTTAATAGCACGCTTCGTGGAGTGCCAGGCTTCCCGTTTGGTCCATCGGGAAGGAAACTAACAACAAGGGTACACGAACACCAACAGGCTACAAAAAGACACGACCAATACTCACTGATTTCAATCCGCATGGATAAGGAGAACCACCATTTCCACCGGGACAACACCAAAATCCTTGGACAAGCTAGGCAGAGACAGGCACGAGAATTCCTAGAAGCCTGGCACTCCACGAAGCGTGCTATTAACAAACATATTGAACTCGACCCCATATACTTTCCACTATGAAGGAAAACCGGAAGTGAGGCAATCCATCTCAAAGGACCCCAGAGTTTAAAAACCAGGTGGGAAAACACACCGACACTTCATCGGAGGCTGCACTGAGGATGTTACCCAGCATGGTAACGAAACGTCTGCGATACAAGAAACCAGCTCGGCGAGCCAACCATATTCAACAGTGCCCTCTATTATGGGTGTAAAACTATTCACTGTTTGCCTTTATCTGCTACATTAGTAGCAGATTAGTAGTAATACATTAGTATTTCCTCAACTTTTTACTTTGTTTCTCTGTTTGATTTATAATTTTTGATACTGGCCCTTATGTTGTTTTACTTTATCTACTTATTCAAAGGACTCCAGTTTTGTAGCTCCACTATAAGGTTGTATAACAAATGTCCATTTTTGGTCTCTGTAAAATGTTTTCTGTTGACCTTAACCTTTTGCTAATCTACAATGGGTTGTGAGGGAATCAGATGTAGTGAAATATGTTTGAGGTATTTTCAAATGGAATCTTCTACTAAAGCTTCACGTGTGAGGGGCCAGATTTGTATTCAGATGCACATGACTTGGAGCTTTCCCAATTGATGGAGAAAATAAGACAAAAAAGCAACTAATGCCTGTCAATTGTGCAGGTAAACAGCCCTCCTCTGTTACCCACCAACAATACTCTCTTACAATATTATTTTACACCTTATATGGATTTCAGGGCTCATGACTGATCAAATGTTCCTTAATTTTTTTATTCATTCATGGGATGAGGGTGTCACTGGCTAGGCAGCATTTATTGCCCAGAGTCACATGTAGGCCAGACTTGCTAAGGATGGCAATTTCCTTCCCTAAAGAACATTAGTAAACCAGATGGGTTTTTCCTGACAATTGACAATGGATTTGTGGTCATTGTTAGATTCTTAATTACAGACATTTACTGAATTCAAATTCCACCATCTGTTGTGGTGGGATATGAATCTGTGACCCCAGAACATGATCTGGATCTCTGGATTAACAGTCCAGTAATACCACCACTGGGCCATCGCTTACTTGGCGATGTAATAAAATAAATGCAAAGCACTGAGTCTGTTGAAGAAACTCAGCCGGTTGTGTGACATCTGTAGGAAGAGAAACAGACTTAATATATCCATTAACAGTTCCAAGAGGAGTTGTACTGTACAGTTTGTTTTCCTTCCTCCTTAATTGTGATCATCTGGAATTTGGCATTCTTGCATTATCCTGCACTAAGCAGGATGTCTCTCTTCAACAATACATTGAAAACAGTGTAGATTGATTAATGGTAGAGATCAATACTATTATACACAATCAAACATAAAGTTTCATATTGAAAATGTATTTAATGAATTTCTCCCCTTGTAAAAGCATGTGCTAGAATTGTGGTAGACTGGTAGTTGTTTCTATTTCTGCTTTTCATGAGCAAGAACCCTGAACTTTTGCCTCTAAGTACAATACAATCACAGTACAGTTACTGTTTTGATATAGTCAAGTCTAAAAAGTCTTGGGCCTCTGAACAGCCAGTTACATTTGATTAAACCTGTTCAGATGATGTTACACATTTTGCATACAGCATTGCCTGTTAAATCTTGTTTCATTTGAATGACTGATCTATCTTTAAAAGTATTTTTAAAATGTTGGTAAACATTTCTTGGTAAATAGGGTATCAAGCAATTGCATGTCCATGACTTGTTTCAAACACTTTCTTGATTGAAAACTTACTAGGCTTAACAGCATTGGTAGTTATAGTAATGTCAGTTAAACTTTTAGTCTTTGATTTGTAAGATCTTTATTACTAATAGTCTCTTGGACACTACTGCCTTTATGTAACGAATGGAGTACTCTTAAATGATAACATTGCAGAATATCCCCAAAACAGCAGGTGAAGGCTTAGAATAATCAATCTACCTCTTAGCAGTTTCAAACATCTGTAAAGTTGTTGACAGAATTTGTAATAAAAGAATTAAGAGGGTATGTGCCCAACAGATTTTTCTTTAAAAAGGGACAAATCAAGAGCACACAACCAGAAGTATCTTGCTCTACTTCTGGGGTAAATAGGATATTAAATTTCAATTACAACTCTATCACTTGCTTTTTAAAAAAAGGAGAACATGACTGAAAAGCTCTGTAGTGGTGAGAGATGTGCAAAATGTTATGAATGACCCATAATTATTTTTCACAATGTAATTATGTGAAATAGAAAATCATTCTACTTTAGATGAGTGAATTTTTTTTTGAAACAACTGGCCTTGAATCAATTGAAGTACCAGCCTTGGGCACTGTTCTTTTTCTACTGAAATGTATAGGTGAGGGTCATGAAATTCACAACCATAAAAACTTAAATACGAACTTTGTCATCAGAATGATGTATAGTAAAGATATCAAGACACAATGCTAGGTTCTGCTGTAGCTAAACTTCTGGCAAAAATACAGCTTGGTCATAACTGGTCAATTCATATAATTAGAGAACTACTTGGTTTCACTCTGTGCCAAGTTCACCAGAGGATGTGGAGAAACAGCACACATGGTTAAGGAGATGCCAGTGTAAAAGCTAGGTGCAGTTAGTTTTTTTTTTGACCACTTGTGTCAAGCAGTCAGGAAATTCCAGGTCAGTTACTGGCAAACTACACTTCAGGTATTCTCCCCAAAGGCATGGAAAGGATTATATTCTCCAATTCTAGCAGTGAAGTAGAGGTTTAAAAAGTATTTTTGGCAAAAGCTAATTCAGTTGGTATTAAAAAAGGTGTTAAAACTCCGTATAAAGCATTTTGACTTCTCCAACAGTTTGCATGTACTATCATGATATAACTTCCCTACTTTTGAATTTCTCTTGAAGACTGTGCAACACCTATGAATTTGTGCAAAGTGAACAAATTTCAAAAAAATGTAAAAGAAAAAAAAAGTGTCTACGGTAATATTAACCTTACTCAAAACAATTTCCACAGCCAGGGATGTGTTTTTAATCAAGAGTGCAGTAATTGTTTTCAGTAATTTCACTCAAGACACTCATTATTGCAAGCTTTGAAACTAATCCAAAGAAAAACAAATAATAACTTATGACAGAGTTTAAGACACTAGGATTAAGCAGGAATAGCAAACATTCACAAGGTCCTTTACATTTTACAGTTTCTTCTCATTAGTAGGTTCTGCAGGCTACACTCGTACCACTGTATGATTTCTGGGTACACTATTTGATATTGGTATTTTCGCTTTGGGAGTCCCCCTCGTTTGCTTCATTTCAGATATACTGGTCAACAGTATAGACCAGCAATTCTGAAAATCGATCATGAACACACTAAATTGTCCCTTTAATTCAAAACAGAAATCCAAAGCATTTTTCCAGTGTACAAGTGCCAGTCTTTACAGTGAATCCCCTTCACATATTCTATTGCAATCAAGCTGCTTTCTTCGTACTGTTGCTGGGGAGTACCTGGAGATTAACCTTTGACCTGCAGATTTAAGCATAATAACATTAAATAGTGACAAGTGATCTTTACAATAGGTTCAACTAACATGTAGGAGAGGCCGTTTGTATTTACATCTAGTTACTTGAACCAATAAGTAGTCCCTTTTCATCACTTTAATTGCTCAAGAAGCTACTACCAATCAGATTTGTCTTCCTCTGAGTGCACTACACACCCGGTCATAGCACTTCATGTGAACATACAAGACCATTCAGCTTTTCATTGAAAAGCAGCCTTCAAAATTTCTCTTCATCTAACCGAAGACGTGTGATTTTTAAACTATCCTCTAGTCCCTTCCACAAGGGGGAAATAACTTGACAGAATTGATACTGGAAGGTTAGCTAGGGGAATGTGTATTGTAGAAATGCTACTGAACCAGCAATTCAGGGTTCAAGAAATCAAAGTCTGGAACATAAAACAAAAAAAAAAGTCTTGGTAATGGTAATCATGAAACTGCATCTTATAGGGAAAAAAGAAATCTGTCACTCTTGCGCAGAGCAACAGCAACGTGCTTACTTACGTAGCCCTAGAAAACCACTCACTTTAAAGGACATTTGTGGTTAACACTGCTGCCTCACAGCACAAGGGACCCAGGTTCAGTCCCAGCCTTGGGAGACTGTGGGGAGTTTGCACGTTCTGTGTCTGCATGGGTTTCTGCTGGGTGCTCCTGTTTCCTCCCACTGTCCAAAAGATGTGCAGGTTAGGTGGATAGCTGTGCTAAATTTGCCACCTTGGTTCAAGTCAGCAGGGATGACTGATCAACATGGGGCCTTCCTCATTCAACCATTATCTGTATGAAAACAACTGAGCTAGCAGAAGTTAAGGCTGGTATAATAAAAGATTTTCTGAAATTGCAGCAAACTGTCAGAGATGGCTAACTTGGCAAGCAAGCTCCAGGGAGACAACAATACACTGTTCTATCCTAGGAATATGCTGAGTTGACCAATCCAGTCTCACCAGATGATGAAGGCATTGTAAATGGCCTCAACATCCTAATGGAGAATGAGTTAGGGGGAAAAAAGTAAACTGGACATTTTTGGATTCATTCCTGGTTTCAATCCAGTCGCTCTAGCTAGATTGTCTTGGATTACTTGTCCCCGCCGCCCTCAGCTGACACAGCCTAAAATCAAATGTAAAGTACACACTAGACAAGTTGAGACAGCTAGATCCAAAGACATGTAACTGCCTTCTTGGCTACATTGCTGAAACCAGAGCAGGAAGAGAACATTTAAAATCGCTAATATGCAGCTTAAATGTACTGCATTGCTGTAATTCAACACTAATTGTTTTAAAGGTATAAAATGTATAGCAACAAGTTTTGGCAGAACAGACTAGCCGTAAATGGTTGAATGACAAAGTGCTAAGGCATTAATGGCAGTGTTTGAAACGTGTAGATAGTTAGTTTTTAAATTTAATCAAGTACAAGCAGTGAAACATTAAGTGAAAAACTGATTTACCTATTATGGATCATGTGGCTTTTCACCAGATGTCCAGCTGCCAGTGCTGCCATGAGAGACAGTTCACCTGCCATTACTGTACCACAAACTATCTCTGCCAGCTGACGTGCATTTTCACCAGGACATTCCCGACTTGCACCCTGAACACCAAGCATCTAAGAAAACATGTAGAAATATTTTAAGTAACAGCAGATTGTAAGCAGATTTAGTGAGTGTGAGGAGTTTGGTAATAGATGGATAAAAAGGTGCTCCTTTTGTTTATCTTTTGCAGGGACCATTCTTTCTGGGACATGCTTGCCTACTCCACCCCACAGCACCTTCCCATGCAAACCGCAGAAGGCGTAACACCTGCCCATTTACCTCCTCTGCACTATCCAAGGCCCAGACACTTTCCTGAAGCAATATACCTGCACTTCACTCTATCTAATTTACTGCATTCACAACTCTACACTGGGGGAGACGAAACACCACCTGGATGCCTGCTTTATGGAACACCTATGCTCAGACTGTAAAAAAAAAGTGTTTTCAGTTGCCTGCCACTCCAACAGCGTTCCCATGCCAACATTTCTTTCTCAGGCCTGCTATGGGTGCTCCAGCAAGACTCAAGGCAAGCTGGAGAAATAAAACCTCAGGTACTTTACAGCTCTCAGGACACAACATTGAATGTAACAATTTCAGAACTTGAATATCCTCCTCCATCTTCAGTATCCACCCCCATAACCCCAGGTCCTGTTTTGTATGGGTTGCTCCCAGCACAGCTAACCACTTCAAACCACTGACCGTTATCACCACCTCAGTTTAGCAGCAGCAGCCGCCACCTCTTTTTTCTTTCAGGCCTAGTTTCCTCAACATTTCAAAGCAGGAGAGATAATTTCTTACAGGAGGATGTACATGTTTCTCCTGACTGGTGATCAAAAACCACGGGACAAAATCTCAGAAACTTATTAAAAATAAATGTCTTGGAACCCATCAGCAGGGAACTGTCAACAAAGTTTAAGATCTATAAATCACTTTTAACTATCCATTCAGTTACAGCATAGATGGGTAGGCCATTTAAAAAACGGATTGAGAAAGGTGTCACAACGACGCCACCCAGAAACCAGAGAAGCAGCACCTCATATTCTGCCTCGGGAGCCGACAACCCAATGGTCTCAAGGTGGACTTTACCAGTTTCAAAATCTCCCCAACCCCAGCATCATTCCATGACCAACCCTTCCTCTCGTCCCCGCCTCCTTGACCTGTCCGTCTTCTCTTCCACCTTTCTGCTCCTCCCACCTCGCTAACCAATCCTCACCACTGGCTATCTGCACTCACCCCGCTATCAGCATCTCAACTACCTTCCCCAGCCCCAACCCTCCGTCTATTTACTTCAGAGCTCCCTTCTCCCTCCCCCATTTCTGAAGAAGGGTCGTGACCCAAAACGTCAGCTTTCCTGCTCCTTTGATGCTGCCTTCCTCCATCTCCACACTGTTGTCTCTGACTCCAGCATCTACAGTTTTTACTACCTTTGACAAAGGCAGAACTTTTTCACCACAGGTGGTGGTGAACCTTTAGAATTCATTACCCCAGAACACTGTGGAAGCTCAAATCATTGAGCAAATTAAAGACACCAAAGGAATATGGGAGATAACATGGGAAGGTGGCACTAGATCAGATGTAATCTAACAACAGCGATGCACACTTGATGGGATGAATAGTCTACTCTTGTTCCTATGTTTAGTTACTTCTAAAGTAAATCTTCCTTAGCATTCCACACTGAACAACAAATCTTTGAATGGTATCGGTTACTGTTCTAATCTTCAAATAATTTGAAGTTGCTTTTGGTCCAGAATACGCCAGTTGTTCACTTCACTAGGCATAGAAAGACTACATTAGAGATTTGAGTCACCTTAATTTCCGCTGTCTAATAGTGGCATCTTTTATATGAAATGTAAAAAATTAAAGCCCCCACCTGCGCTGACAATTTGAATATTAAAATTTCCATGGTTTTCTTGTTGTTTTAAACACTTCAGGTCACTAATGTTCTGCATCACGCCTCACTGTGAACAACTGGCTGTTGAATTTCCCATAAATGCACCAGTCACTATAATGTAGTCTGCTCTCGGGGTATGAAACAAGCCAAATATTTGGCCAAAACTAATACCTTCTCCATTTACTTTTTCATTAGTTTTCTTCTGGTTTCAATCTACACATCAAGAAATACAACATCAAATATAAATTATTTACATAAATTCTCACCTGCAGGCAAGTTTGCTGCGGTGGCAAGTTGGTTCCTCCCCCAACAGTTCCAACCTCTATGGACGGCATGGTGCAGCTAATATACAAGTCTTCATTACTGGGGCCTGTTGATTCCATTAACGTAATACAATTCGAACTACCAATATTCTGGGCTGGGTCCTAAATTAGAAACATGTAGCATCAACAAAAACAGGGTAAAGAATTAAATGCTTATGGGTTAGAAGAGTTTTGAGGTAAAAAACACCAGCGCCAGGTTGTGTTTATCACCTTAAATATGCACTTTTAGGCAATACTTAAATGGATTGAGCGGAAACTGATAGTGGCAATGTTCTAGTTGGCTGTACAGCCAGCTAAATCATTAAGTTGTTAAGATCCAAGCTGGTGAGTAGTCATTGGTAACACTTCTGAAGCAAATAGGCTACAGGAATGGCTATAGTGGGACATGCCATAGAAGTGAAACAATGAGTGTAATTTTAATAGGATTATTTTAAAATTAGAGCTATGGTTTAGTATATCTTCAGTAGCTGTGGCAGGTATGATTAGCAAATGGCAGGCAGTTCTCAAATGCACCAACAGCAGAATGATTATATGGCCTTGAAAAAAAAATACAAGAAAGGTGGATCTCAATCTCCTGAAGTGCCATGGCTGCCTCACTCATTTCTATTGTTGATGACAGTGGGGTTTCACAGTAAATAAGGGACACCAACAACACATTCTAGTTCATCAGTAAGATCAGACAGTTTTAAAATTACATTGCCACCAAAACTACCCAGGTAGAACAGTCATTAGAAAATTACCGAGTTACAGAATCAAACAGCATCAGAAACAGAACATTCAGGCCACTCATGCACGCCAAATCAGGAATCCCAAACTTAACTAGACCCATTTTCCTGAGCTTGGTCCATATCCCGCTAAAATCTTTCCTATCCATGCATCTGTTGAAATGTCTTCTAAATGTTGTATTGTATCTTCCTCTGGTAACTCATTCCATACATGCACCACCTTCTGTGAAAAAGTTGCCTTTAGATCTCTTTTAAAAACCCTTCCCCTCACACCTTAAACCTATGCTCTCAAGTTTTGGGCTCCACCACCTCCACAAAAAGACCTTAGCTACTCACCTTATCTATTCCCCTCATGATTTTAAAAACCTCTTTAAAAGGGCAACCCTCAGCCTTGATGCTCCAGGGACAAAAGATCCAGCCTCTCCTTATAACTCAAACCCTCCAATCTTGGCAATATCCTTATAAATTTTACTGCTCTTTTTAGTTTAATAACATTCTTCCTGTAGCAGAGGAGTGACCAGAAATGAACACAGTACTCCAAAGTGGCCTCACCAATGTCGTGTACAGCCACATGACGTCCCAACTCCTATACTTATGGATAACATCCAAACAGTTCAAAGGCCAATTAAGTAATTGCAGCTTTGGAAATCATGTGGTTTTACCAATGCTAGCCTAAATTTTTAACCAGAGTCTTAACAATACCATGTTTGAGTTGAGACATCAGTTAAAGGAGGATCTCTCAACTTGTCAGGTCTAGATCCAAACAAAATCCTCTATAAAAACCGAAAGAACCACGGATACTGTAAATCACAAACAAAAACAGAAGTTTTTGGAAAAGCACAGCAGGTCTGCCAGCAACTCTGAATAAAAAAAGTTAACATTTCAGGTCCGGTGACCCTTCCTCAGAACTGACTCCAAATCCTCTGTTGGCTACTTACCTAGTATATTTCCAGTAAGCTCTCACTGAAGGAATGTGGATTTTCATTATTGCAAAAATGTGTACTATTGAGAATGCAGCAAAATAAACATTGAAAAAAATTCTTGCACCTACCTGTCCACAGGCAATATAAATAGCTGTAACGATATTTGCAGCATGTGCGTTGTAACCACCCTGACTTCCAGCCATAGCTGAACCCACTAGGTTTTTGCTGATATTCACTTCTACAAGAGAGTGTGTAGAGGTTTTTAATACCTAAAGAAAACAAAACAAAATGCAAAGAGAATTAAACTAATTACAGACAATTGTTGGAATCAAATGATTTGTAAAAGCCTTTAATATCGATTAGTGCATCTCTTATTGAAGTAGTGTGAACCATGCAAAGTGCAAACACTTGCACACACTATATACCTCATGCACAACTTTGGCTGGAATGACTGCTTCACAAACTATAGACTTCCCCCTTCCCTCAATCCAGTTAATTGCAGCAGGTTTCTTATCTGTGCAGTAGTTGCCACTAACTGCTAGTACACGCAAAGATGGGAACTCTTCCTGCAACCTGGAGAGAGCCTTCTCTGTACCCTATTAAATAAAACAAGGAAAAAAAAAGCACACCAGTCTTAAGACATCAAATTATGAGACACATACAAAAAAGGTCACTTAATCCATTGCACCCACATAGAAAAAGTACTCATACAACTTATACAGCAGTTTGCTGTTCCTACTATGCACAATAATGTTTCCCTATACATGACTTTTGCATCACCACACTTACTTTATCAGACTGAAGCTCACTAACATTTAAACAGCAAAAAGTAATGGAATGCATTAAGGCTGAAATCAAGTAATATTCAGAAACTACAGATTAAAAATGGCAATCTCGAAATTTATAGCTGGTCTCATTTTTCTTTTCACACCCCGCCCCCACCTTTTTATTGGTGCGTTTTGAAACAAGAAAAAAAGGCATGACTTATTTAAAGGAGTAATAAAGGGAAGTTAAGATATCTTAAAAAGCATTTTACAAATGCCGCAGAAGTTACTGCAGCAAGTAAAAGTTCACGATATAGGGTGCAACACATTGAATTGAATTAGCTTTATTGTCACACTTACTCAAATGAGTACAGCGAAAAGTTTGTAAGTTGCCACTTACAAGGCCATCTTGGGTACAAAAGGTACCTACATACAATTCTTAGTTACAGAATAGAGAAACGAAGAAAAAAAGTTACATCACAGTATGGCCATAGGTCAGAAAAAACAAGCAGCAAAGTTAAAAAGACAAAGACCACAGTATCTCTCCAAAGGGTCTCTGCAGCAGACGAACACAGGGGGCCTCCACATGGTCTGACCGCTGGCTGTCGCCATGCTCTCTGCTGGGCCACTATCCCTGCTCCTGCACCAGGCCGCTGGTTGCCGGCATCCCCACTCCAGCTGCTGGCGTCTCTGCCAACACCATGAGGAGTGGGAGGGAGAAAAGATGAAAAAGAACAGGTAGAGCAAAGAGTCCTGGTTGGAGCATCCTCCACTGCCATCTTACATTATCGTGGATAGAAGATTGGCTGCCTGGCAAAAACCCAGTATGCTCGCATTGTTGTTTGATTGGCAGAAATATGAAGAATAGGGAGTCCTACAGGCAACTGTGCTGGGGGCTTAACATTTTACAATTTACACCAATGACCTAGCTGAGGGGACCAAAGGTGTAGCAGCTTAATTTGAAGATGATACCAAGGTAGATAGGAAAGTATAGACATGTCAAGGCACAAAGAATTTGCAGATAAACAGAAGAAGTTGAGGGAGTAGGTAAAAATCTGCCAGATGGAGTATGATGTGGGACTGAAAGCAAAAGGGAACTATGACAAGAAACGTGGTAGAAGTCCAGATGAGCTGCAAAAGATGACCGACTAACCATGACCATTTTCCTAGAGATCAAGTCCTGGTAATGATATACAAGTACAGAAGGTTGTAAAATGCCCAACTGAAAGATCAGGTGCTGCTCCTCAATCTTCACTGCAAGAAATATAGAAGGCCAAGGGTAGACAGGCTGTATCAGGACAGAATTAAACCACCAGCAACCAGAAGATCAGAGCCACAGGTACGTTTAGCATTTAAATTTTTCCATTCTTTTCCCCCCGCAAAAAGAAATGGTGTCACTGGCTCAGCCAGCATTTATTTCCCCAATTACCCATAGGGCAGTTAAGAATCAACCACATTGCTGTGGGTCTGGAGTCACATGTAGGCCAGGCCAGCTAAGAACAATGACAAATGCCTTTCCGAAAGGACACTGTCAATGAACTCCTCTAATTCACCAAATGACAATTGTTTTATGGTCAGATTCTTTAGACACTTTATTCCAGCTTTTTATTGAATTCAAATTGCACTATGTCATGGTGGGATTCAAACCCAGGTGTCTAGATTAAAAGGGTCTGGTGCTAATACCATTACCTCCCATATCATAGACCTGTCCTTTGTTCTTTCGCTATCCCAGTCCCTCATTCTGCCTCTGTCATTATTTCATACTTGTTCCATCTAATATTTTCTTGTTCTGACAGACAATACAGTTTCTTCACATGAATGCTGCATAACCCTGTTGACTATCTCCAGTATCTTGAACTTATACTTGCCTTCGAGATCATGTTCATGCCCATGGCATCTCCAGTCTTTGATTGAAAACGGATATAGAGATCACGTCCAGCAAGCCCAATCTGCAGCCTCTGAAGCCGGGCATATCTGCAGATTTAAAAAATTGTAAGATTCTATGGAAAAAAAACTTGGAGATTTTACGTAAACTACAGTTGATTTGTAGAGGCAAGAAACTGCAGTCAGTCAGTTAAGCCAATCCCTAGCATGTTAGTACTAACTTGTTTCGTATAATTCCAAATGATTCTAGGGCCACATTTCTGGTTGGGGTAGATACAGGACAGGTGACAGAATCTTTCATGTCTCAGCTGAGCTACAGAGAGTTTGTGGGAATTCTGCAAATTAAACCTAACTGACGTATGCTTGCTGAAAGTTGTGGTGGGGAAATAGAAAAGACACAAGGACAGTACTGGGCAAAGAAAACAGATTACCACCACAAAAATGACAATATAATAAAACAGATTAATGCTATTCCTCCAATTCTTCCTGAGCCTCATTTCAACTTTTGAAGCAGGAATACATTGTTCAATTTTCTTCCCAGCTACTAGAGTGAGCATCCTCAGAAACTGAAAGAGGACAATAAAATAGGTGGGAAGTTGCAATGAAGAAAAATGAAATTGGATTAAATGCATGGCCCAAAATTTGGCAGATGGCGTTTAAAAGTAGGTAAGCTCAAGATTATCCATTTTTGGTCAAAAGAATGGAAAAAGGCAACTTACATAAAGACAGTACAACATGCTTTGTGAGGTGGGATTTGGGTGTCCTTGTGTATAAGTCACAGGAAGCTAGTATACAGGCATGCTAGGTAAGAAGGCAGACAAATGTAATTTTGGCATTTATTGAAGGAATGACCCATAAAAACAGGGAAGTGTTGTTGCAATTATACAAGGCATTGGTGACACTGTATCTGGAGAACTACATACAGTTTTCACCCCCTCGAGGAAGGATGCAGTTCAAAGAAGGTTCACGGATGAGAGATTTGAGCAGTTTAGGCCTATATTTGCTAGAATTTAAAAGAATGACAGGAGATCCAATTAAGGTTCAAGATGTGTTAAATGGGATTGACAAAGTAGACAGCAGATGTTTTGCTTCGAAGGGAAATATAGAAAGAAAGACCATTGTTTTAAATCTGTCACCCCTTAGGCTAAAATTGAGAGCAGCAGAAATCACTTCTCTCAAAAGGGGCGTGTATCTATAAAATTCACTTAGCCCAGAATGCAGTGGATACTGGGGCATTGAATTAAATTTTGAGGAGATTACAGATTTTTTTAAAATTCCTAATGGGTTAAAGGATTAGGAAGAGCAGACAGGGAAGTGGAGTTGAGGCAGAGATGACACCAGCCATGATGGTAGTAAATGGTGCAGCAGGCTCGACGAGCAATTTGCCTACACCTGCTTCTAGTTCCTTTGTTTCCACCACTATTGTGGTTTGCTGACAGAGTACTGATGTGCACTTCATAAATTCCAAAGATTTATTGTATAATTCTGAGATTTCTTCACCAAAAGAAATGTACTGATGCTTCCCAAACTTTTAAAATCATTCCCTGTCAGGAGCATAAAATGTCTTCTGGACACTTTTCAAAGCTTCTTGGTGGAAGCAGTTTGTACTAAGTGTCAAATTCAAATAACAGTGGGAAGCTACATTCACTGATATTCTTTCCTTCCAAGGAGTCAGAAGTTGCTTTAAACTGGATTTAGAACTAAGCCAAACTCAAAAGTCTAGCAGTGAAATTAAGTCACTCTGTACCAATGTCACTTGCAATAACTTCCTCCAGCTCATATTAGGACCATGTTCTTAAGTTAAATTCACACTATGTCCAGAACAAATACAAAATCTAACTTTAAGTACAATGCAGCAATATTTTAATTTTTTAAAATTGTCTGTACATTTCTGCATCCATGGAGCTCTACACAAATGTATATTCCACTGGAAGGCTCCAACATCAGTGAAACGAAGACCTTTGGTGCTAACTGCAGGTGAAATTAGGAAAAAATGGTAAAGAAATGGACCCACATTATCACTTCATGGCAGCCGAACAACAATACAGCGCAGAATAATCTGAAATTCAAAGCGTCTCAATCTAATATTGTAGAATACACAAAACCTCACCTACTAGTGCTGTCAAACATCTCCTTCATAATTTGAAAGCCTTCAGGGTTCTCTAGCCAGGTTTTCACTTCTGCTGCCTCACATGCAGTCGGCAGCCTTACAACTGGCCCTCTAGTCATTCCATCTGCCAAAACGCGACTCCGTGCTCCACCACCCAGCTTAAATTGAAAGATCAAAATATTTAGTTTCACCAGCAAGCAAGTTAAAAAAGGTAATGAAATATTTAGTACTCGACTATAAAGCATTTGATTTTACTTATGTGATTTAATGTATTACTGTCATGTGTAGCAAAGTACAGTGAAAAGTATTATCTTGTGCACTTTGCAGGCATATTGTACTACATGAGAGCTTAAAAGTGTAGCACAGAGTGCAGGTTATGACATTTCAGCCACCGTGGGGTGGGAGGATTTGGAGAGAGAGTGCCAGAACGCACAACGTCAACATTAAGAGTCCGATACCAGAGTGGAGGAACCTGTTCTTGAATCTGTTTAATATAACATTGGATGTTTAAGTCTACTTACACATATTGCCCTGCAACCACGGTTAGTGCTTGCCACAAGACAGCCTTCAGTCGTTGCCATAGGCACTTGGAACTCCTTCCCATTCAGGAAAAGTGGTCCAACAACTCCCACAGGGATGGGCATGTAGCCAATGATATTCTCACAGCAAGTGCCCATGACCTAGCAGATCAGGTTAGACAAAATAAATTCACATGTATTGAAAGAAGTAGAATTCAATTTCCAAATCCAAAACTACAAATCCTGGATTTAATTGTCTCCTATCAAAGTTCAGCTGGTTAAAAAGCCAATTCATTCATATCTACTATTCCCAGTTTGATTCAAGTTTGCAGACTCGAGATCAATTGGTGATATAAATGGCCTCACAGCCTTTCGTAAAATTAAACTAACCAATTGGTTCCTACTTCAGGATGCATTTCAATAATATTTGATGACATAGTGTCGATTTGGATGTCAAGTAAAGGCCATGAAGAAACTTGACTCCAGTTTCTTAAAAAGTTGAGTGCCCAGCACTCTAACCTCATGCATGTTGCATGCAAGATTAACTGCAGATACCTGAAATAGGGAAGTCAACTCCATTGGTAGTACAAGATTTAAAAAATTAATATACACATAGGAGGTACAGCTGGAAGGTGCCGGGGTAGCATGATATAAAATTTGATCTCCTAATCCATAAATAAAATCACTGAAGAGGAAAAAAAAAAAGGGGAGCCAATACAGAGATGTAAGGAGTTCCACAGGTGTGCAGAGTCATCATGTTCCTCCTACAATCAGGCCTCTCAGATTCTTGTGGTGCAGTGGTAGTGTCCACACTAGCCAGCAGATGTATAACATCTCTGACCAGAATAATTAGAAAATCTTACATCAGGCCCCTCAGTTACAGGATTGAGTCAATAACGACTGAGAATAAAGTGGAAAATCAATAAATAAGTCAAGTGTAAATCTTCATGAGAATTATTCATTTCACTCAAAACTAAAAAATGTCATCACTAAAACTCGTCAAAGTTTAAAAATACAATTGAAGATGGTTTAAAGTTTGTATTTAGTTTTCCTTTCAAACAGTTTTACCTAATTTGGAGGAAAAGAAACAAATAAGTTTTCCACGTCTCTAACCTTTCACTTCTGAAAGACACCTCCATAGTTCATAGTTCCATCTCACTCTTCCAAATCTCTAGTATTGAGAACTCTGACTTACCAGAGAGTAATCGTAATCCTTGTAGGGAAGCATTTGTAATGCAGTAGTTTTTGGCAGTTTTTCAGCCAGGATCTGTCTACGAATGAACACACCACGTTCTGGAGTTTCCATCATATTCTCCAGTTTGTAAGCTGGAATATGTTTGGCATTCACCAGACGGATTACCTCAGCATCACTAAGGTGTTTTGCTCCTCGCTGGAGATAATAAAAAAACATAAGCTCGAAATTAATTTAAATAAACATTTTAGAAGTATTTCTATGTGTACTGGTGATGCTGATGCAAAGCTATGGGCCAAGTGCTGGTATATGGGATCAGAATAATTAGGGCTTGTTTTTGTCTGGTGCAGACTCAAAACGGGCTGAAGGGCCTTTTTCTGTGCAGTCAAACTCTATGACTGGCTATCTTACCAGAAGTTTAATTCCAAGAACTCTACTTTAACATTCATTCTCTAGCAGATTCTATCAAAATTGAAGCAAATAGAAACCATGAACATAAAGCTACCAGGTTACTATAAGCACCTGGTCCAGGTTTGGTGATAACATTTGAAATTGTTACTCAAAATGGCAAAATAATAGTGCGTCTTAAACAAAAAAAGGATTATTTAATTCAAATTAGAACCCTTTTTAAATTAGTATTAGAAGTCTAAAGTTCCTTATTCAGCCGTTCACATGCATCAGAAATTGGGAAATTAAACATCTAAATTTAACTGAACTCTGCAATTTAGCAGCATTGGCAGATTAAAAAAAACTTAGAAGTCGCTATGTTAAATGCAATAAAACAAGGCATAGTGTGAGAATCAGTGCACATTTCTCAGTATATATTATCTGTTATCTACAATAAGGACAGCTGAATGCTGTGGTGGTCACTAGACTAGTAAATTGAAAAGGGCTTTTTATATTCTGAGGACCTGGCTCAAATACACCACTGGAGGTGGTGGAATTTGAATGCAATTTAAAATCTACAACGAAAAGTCTAAAGATGACCATTAAATAATTGATGTAAAAAAGCCCCTCTGATTCACGAATGTCCTTTTGAGGAGGAAAACTGCCACCCTTACCTGGTTTAGCCCATGTCACTTCAAACCCACAGCAATGGTGGGTGACACTCATGCTCTAATTACAACAAACAGTTTTTTAAAATAAAAAGCTGGATAGACCGGAAACAAACAAGTCAAGCTCATCGACCCTTACTAAGTCCTCCTTACTAAGGCGGAAGGCTATTACAAAATTGCATAATTGACCCAGTCTGATCAAGCAGCAGCCTGACAGTCATAATATCACATCACACATAATGCCCCATATAACACCATCCATAGTGAGGTCCTGTCACACCACCAGGATTGACGCAGAAAAGATGGCAGCTCCCTGGTGTATAATCATAAGAGTTGTTAACACATCCTGCACATTTTGTAAACAAAAAGCAGGACAAATCCAACTTAGCCAATTATTGCCCCAGTCTTTTCTTGATTGGTAAGCAATGGAAAGGGGTAAATCAACAGTATTATCAAGCTGCACTTGCTTACTGAAGCTCAGTTTGAGTTTGGCCAGGGCAACTCAGTCCTATCCGCATTACACAGCTTTACTGCAATGGGGTTATAAAAGCATCTAGAGAATCAATGCTCATTTCATTTTGTTAACTTTATTCTTTAACATGGAAGCTGTATTTGACAGTGTAGCAGAGGAGCATTAAGAAATGCGGAGTCAGTGGAAATCTGCAGAAAACTCTCCACTGCTTGGAGCCATATATGGCATAGAAGGAAGGTAGCTGTGGTTGTTGGAGGCTGCAGGAGTTTGTCATAGGAGAATCCTAGATGCAATCATCGTCAGCTATTTCAGTGATCTTTCTCCAATCATATATGATCAGAAGTGGGGATTTTGCTGATGATTACACTATGTTCGGCATATTTGCCATTCCTCGAGTACGGAAGCAGTCCATGTCCAAATGCAGCCAAGACCTGGACAATGTCCAGGTTTGGTTTGACAAGTGATGCAAGTGCCAGGAAATGACCATTTACAACAAAGAGAATGCAACCATCATGCCTTGACATTTAAAAGGCATTATCACTGAATTCCCCACCTAACATTTGGAAGGTACCATTAACCTGAACTGGACTATCCATGTAAATAGTATGGCTACAAGACCAGATCAGAGGCCAAGAGTCTTGCAGAAAGTAATTCACTTGCTGGCTCCCCAAAGCCTGCCCACGATCTAAGGCACCGGGAGGGTGATAGAATTCTCCCCATGTCTGGCTGAGTGTAGCTCCAACGATACTCAAGAAGCTTGGTACCATTTGGACAAAGTAGCCCAACTGATTGGCACCATATCCATGAATATTTACCCCTCAAACAACTCAAACTCATCAAGACTCACTTGATGGTACCTGCCAAACCTATGATGACTAACAATGTTGAAGGACAATAGCAGATGTGAACACCACCACCTGCAAGTTTCTCTCCAAGCCATTCACCATTCTGACTTGGAAATATACTCCTGTTCCTTCTGTGGCACTGGGTCAAAATACTTGAACTCACTCCCTAATGGCAATGTGCTATAGGTACACGGACAGCAGCAGTTCAAGGAGGCACTCACACCACTTTAAGGGGCAACTTAGCAATGGGAAAAAACATCACACCTCATGATTGAATAAAAATTCACTGAATCCACTGAAATGGAATTCAATACAGGCACAAATAATGTGAGCATTTGACTAAACAGTCATTGAACATGATTCAAATCAGATTAAGAAAACATTCGCATTCCTTCCAAAGACAAATACTAAATAGTTGAAACCGTGGCCAATTAAGTTAGAGATGTTTTACCTCTGGGCTTCGGAGTATGAATAAGCATTCTTCAATTGGTCGTGGTTCTAATGGCAACTCGATATCCAGCTCTTCAGGTGTTCCTGAAGATGAAGAGCTGGGAGGAGTGAAGTCTCCCAACACAAAATTTGCTTTTGATGAATCATTGACCAATTTTGGTATTGTAAATGCAATAGGCTTAATGACTTCATCTGCAGAAAAAGGTACCTGCGATTAGTTTGAAATAGAGCAACCGTAATACAAGTCAATTGTCTCATTCCAAACAAAAATTATAAACTTGTACGGATGAACGCAATATTTGTAATAAGAAGAACTGTATAAACCCAAAGTGAAAATATAAGCCTAGGACAAGCTCAAAAGTATAATCCGTGTACTATCACACAATTTTCAATGGCTAGATTAAGAATCCAAAGAATTTTACTAGTATAAGAATTTGAATTCAGTCAAAAATATGAAAGTACAAAACTGGTTAAGAACTCAACAAATTCATTAATGTATTGTAGGAAAGGAAATCTGCCACCCTTAGACTAGGTTGCTCACATTCCGGTCCCTTAATTATGGTGAATTCCATTTTGGTGCATAGCAACTGTAACAAGCATATTTAAAAATTTATACCTGTATTTTCTTTACTAGTTGGTTCCTCATCTGCTAGACATGATTGGAATCTGGTAGTTCCAGTATTATTCATGCAGCTATCGGTATTCTTTTTCTGTACTACCAATGAGAAAGACGACTGAGTTTCCGCCTTCTCAAAGAAGATGTATTTGATAGCAAGAAAGAGTGCTAGACCAAGAGTAATTACTTGTTCGATATCCATGCTGACCATCCTGTGACAGGTGAAACAAGAAACAGAAAACATGCATTAACCTGTAGGATTGTTTCTTTTGAGTTTTACTGGGCTACAAATTCAAATGTTTGCTTTGTCCAATACAGTTAGAATAGTGCATCCAATCATACAATAACTTTTGGAAAGGAAAAGTACAGTCACCGGGATAATCCCTAGTTTTAAAAAAAGGATCCTAGTTACAGTTATAAAGGAATATTTAGAAAATTCTCCCCCGCTTCTAGCCAGCACCCAGGTGATGTGAACGAAGTCAACAAAACTAAATGGCTTCCTTGAGTTTTACCAAAAGGTTATTTCAACAAGGTATGTTGGGAAAACCTGATAGCTAATGTGTAAAACAAGACACCAAATTTGTCTCCCTGCTGATAGTAAGACCTGGGGAATTCATGTGGCAAGAGTAGACTCTCTGTATGCTTTCAGGAACTAGCATGTTGAACTAGTTCCTGAAGAAGACAACGTCATAGAAAAAGGTTGACAAAATATTACTAATGTATATGCTTGGGTTACTATTTAAGAGATCAGAGGAGTGTCTATGGACATAGACATGCAATCATTGTGCTCCAGTGCACCATTGTGCCACACATGTTTAAACAGACGAAGTTAGCCTTCTTCCTGTCGATTTACAATGATGACAAGTTTGGAGGTTTTATGGCTTCAGAGCAGGATTTTTTTTTTTTTTTTTAATTAAGTAAAATTACTTCTTGCCCCAGCTTCCAGTTTCTCCCTTCAAAATATCCACATACAACCCTGAAAAAAAAACTGAATTTTGAATCACAACAAATCAAACAGAATAAGAATCCCAGAATACTCTGTCGAAAATTTATTGGTGGTTTCTCCCAAATTGGATGGCCAATACATTAACACATGTTATGGAGTCTACATTAACTTTTAGCAAAGCTTTCGATAAAGGTTGTGTCTCAATCTGGTCAAGAAAGTAAGATCACATTGAATCTAACCTGGAAATTTGCCCTGGATCCTGAGTTGGCTGAGAGTTTAGAAGCAGGGAGTTTTGTGAAAGGGATGTGGAAGTGTGACTGGAAATCAGTTCCTACTGGAAGTTCCACAGGGCTGAGCTAAGAGCCTTGCTGCTGGAGGTCTATTTGAATGATTTGGATTTAAATATAGGGTATAAATATAGATTAAGTTCACAGATAATATAAACATTGGCAAAGTTGTAAAGAGGAAGGAGGATAACCGTCAGGTGGGCAGAACAGTAAGCAGTGGAATTCAACCCGAAAAAAAAAACTGAGTTAATATACTTGGTGAGGGCTAACAAGGCAACACTATGAATGGTAGTACCCTGGAAAGTACTGAAGATCATAAAGGCTTTAGCACGTATATCAACAGATCTCAAAAGGTAGCAGCGCAAGTAGATAAAAAAGGTGGTTAAAGAGGTTTCTAGGATACCTGTATTTATGAGCTTTGGCAGAGAATAAAAGGAGCAGGAAGGCTATACTAGAGCTGTATAAAATGTTGGTTAAGCCACAGATAGAGCTCCGCATGCAGCTCTGATCACATTATAAAGAAGGATGTGATTGCATTAGAGAAAGGCTGCAAAGGATGCTAGGATGCTGCCAGAGTTGAAGGGTCTGACATGAGGAACGATTGGATACGCTAGGATCGTTTACCTTGGAGTAAAGGTTTAGAGGGTCCCAAAGGAAGGTTCATTGCATTGAGAGGGTCATAAATAGGGCGAATTGTAGAAAAATATAAATAACCAGAGCTTTGGCTCAGCCCAAGAGGAAGAACACCAAGACAGTTAAGGAAAAAACATTTTTTCTCCAAAAATAATTGTGGGAGTTTGGAACTCATTGCCTGAAAAAGGGCGGTTGAATCAAACTCATTACAACGTTTAAGTAGTACTTAAACTTCACTTGCCTCTCGGGTTATGGGCCAAGAGCTGGAAAACTGAATTAGTGTAGTCACGTATTAGACGACCAATGCGGACATAATGGGCAGAATAGCTTCCTCCTGTACTATAAATGTTTGAGTATTTGAGTGAAATTAAAGTTACCTTAAAATACCAATATTAAAATTACTTTGTGCAAGTAACTTCCACATTTGCATCCATGAATAGCCACTTCAGGCAATGACAGTAAAAGAATATTTTAAAGTGACAATTATTGGCATAAATGTTCAGCTACCTGGAAAGATAGAATTGCCAGAGAGGTACACTGGGATCAATTCTTTTCGGCATACTTCCATCAATGCTTGTGCCAGACTTGGGCATTTCTAAGGTGTTTTCCTGTGAAGATGGTTCTGCTATCCAGCGACTATGAGCATGAACTAGGACTAGTCCTAGAGACTGTGATCCCAAAAAGAAAAATCCATACTTCATTTTTGTTGTTCAAATTACACAGTTCAATAACTTGTCAATTAACAAACTACAAATTCAACAGACCAAATTGACAGTATAACATTTAAACATCCAGAAAACTGGATTGATGGAGTCACTTCCCCACAATATTTTAGAATAATGGTATAATATTTCTAGAAACACATAATTGTTGCAAGACATAAAAATTCAATTGTGCAGTGCTCAAAGTTATTAATTCCACACTTTATACAGCAGACGCATTTCAATACTGACCATGATGACTTTCACTCTCTGTGTCACAGGATTGGGTTTGTTATCTTCTTCTTCCTCCAAGACACGAGCAAAATGACCAAGCTGCCAAATTGGACGACCCTCACGACTTTCTCGGGAAAGCTAAGAAGAAATGTAATGGTTAACGATCTTGAAAAGAAAACATATAGTTTCCTGAAAACTGAACATATTGGATGGTGGGGCAGACTGGAGGCTCCACATTCATACGATCGTGACTGATCCGACTGTAACCTCAAATCCACATTACTGCCTACTCTTACTAAATTTTCATGCCATGTTTAACAAGAATCAACCTAACGCTGCCTTTAAGAAAAAAGGCTCTTTTTTTTTCAGAAAGACAAGCTCTAAAAACATTATGCCTAATCTGTTTTAAAATGGGCAACCGCTAATTTTAAACAATGACCTATAGCTCTACACTCTCTTGGAAGGAAAAAATCATCCTCTCCACATCCATCTTGTGGAGCACCCCAAGGATTTTATTTTTTCAATGAAGATGTCTCTTGCTATTCTAAAATTTAGCAGTTACAAGACTAGTATGTCCAGCCTTCCAATGCGTTTATATCCTTCCTTAAATAAGGTGATCAATACTGTGCACAGTACTCCAGATGTGGAGTCCCCAACACTCTGTATAACTAAAGCATAACCTTCCCACTTTCGTATTCGATTCCCCTTACGATAAATGATAATATTCTATGAGTCTTCCCAATTACTTGTTGTAACCATATACTAACCTTTTGAAATCCATGTACAAGGACATCTAGATATATCTCTCTGCAATCTCCCACCTTTAAGATAAGTTTTTTTATTCCTCCTGTAACAATGCAGCTTCACGTTTTCCCAAATTATATTCCATTTGCCACATCTTTGGCCACTCATTTAACCAATGTCTTTTTAGATTCCGTTATGTCTTCTTCACAATTTACTTTTCTACCTACCTTTGGATTGTCAGCAAATTTGGTAACCAAACTTTTTATCCCTTCCTTCGAGGGATTTATATTATGAATAGTTGCAGCCCCAGTGATACAGCACTCAATACATCTTGCCATACTAAGAAAAACCCATTTAAATCTACTGTATACTACCTGATGGTCATCCAACTAAGATACCTCTTAACTATGAAGATTTATTTTCCACAATAACTTTTGATGTGGCACCTATCAAATACCTCCTGGAAGTCCAAATAACATGTTCCAGGATGTTATCTCCTCAAAAAAACTGAGATTGGTTGAGCACGATTTTGCTTTCACAAATCCATATCAACGCTCCCAAATTATCTTGAACTTATTTAAGTGCCCTGCTTTAACTTTAATAAATCTTAATTACAGTTTAATAATTTCCTGTGACAGATGTTACGCTAACTGCCCTGCAGTTTCCTGTCTCCATCCCCTGTTGAATGGAGGGCAGTAACTCTCACTAGCCACTTCTCCAAGACACTAGGTTGAAATCCATTAGAATGCAGGCAACAGCTCTAACAATTTACCCAGTACCACTTCTCAAGTGAAGATGATTTTCTTAAGTTCTTCCCTCCCTCCCATTTCCTCATCTATCACTGCTACAGAGATGTTACTTGTATTCCTATTAGGAAAGACTGTTGAAAAATACCTGTTCAATTCATCTCTCTCTTACTTTCCATTATTAATCCTCCAGTTTGATTTTCTAGAGGGCCAATGCTCACCAAGTTATTTATTGAAACTTGGTGTTTTTAAAAATATTTCGGGCCAACTTTTTCTCGTACTCCAATTACCCCTTTAACTTTAAGCACAGGTCACATCTCGTTATGGCGTGCTACTTCGTACTTAATTTGTAAGCTAAAAAGGGTTTCCAACTTTTTTTGAAAGAAAAAATCCAACTCTGCAGCCCTCAATAATTACACATTAACAGCCAATAATATCCTGTTAAACGCAGTATTGAAAAGATTTTGAACTTCATGCTTACCTCCAATACAAGGGAGACGCAAGCTGGGAAAAATGTCATAAAGACAAAGTAGTTTGCCAAAACAGACATGCATCCAAAGCAGCACATGATTTCCAATTGTCGCACGCCTAAAATGTTAAAAACAGAAGTTAATGGACCTTTCCTGCTACTGATCAATTTAATATTCTCACCTTCCACATAGCAAAGAGTACACTTTGTGGCTTGGTTTGTTACTTTAGCTGTGAATTCAGCTATAACCACCCAGGTCTTCTGCACCGCCACTAAGACATGCTGAGAGCAGTTACTCACTTGATGGAAGTGCAGTTTCAAATCCTCATTCAGCCACAAAAATGGAACAACTGAACGTCACCGCAAAACCCTTCTTAAACTTTAAATTTCCAACTTCCTGTAAAACTAACAGGTGGTGTGTGCAAGGATGTAGATTTCATGCGACTTACCAGACATAGTACCAACACCTATCACAAGACATTCCACAAGAGCATCAAGAGTGAAAGTGGGACCCAGAATGGCCATTCCACGTGCAATATTTTCCCTTACTTCATCCTGTTAAACAAAGTGCGTACTCGGATCAGCTCACAGGATATTTAAGGATTGCATACCTGTTTGCAAACACTTCTGAACTCAAAGGCAAATAAAGTAAATAGATTCAATGCACATTTTTAAAAGATAACTATGAAGAATTACATTGTGTTAAATGCAGTTGACAAAATAGAGGAACGACAAACCAGCTCAGCGAGCCAACCAACCTCAACATGAGGTGCTATAGTCCTGTAGAGTCATAGGGCATAGAAACAGACCCTTCAGTCCAATTAGTCCCAAACTAAACTAGTCCCATCTGCCTGCTCCTGGGCCATATCCCTCCAAACATTTCTTATTCATCTACTTATTTAAATGTCTTTTATCATTGTAACTGTACTCACATCACCACTTCCCCTGGAAGTTCTTTCCACACATGAACCACTCTGTAAAAAAAGAATTGCCCCTCATGACTTAAAATTTTCTCCTCTCACCTTAAAAATATACCCCTAGTCTTGAAACATGCCCACCCTAGGGAAAGGTCACCTGCCATTCACCTTATCTATACCCCTCATGACCTTATAAACCTCTATAAAGGTCACCCGTTAACCTCCTACTCTCCAGTGAAAAATTTCAGTCTATCCAGCCTCTCCTTATAACTCAAACCCTCCATTCCCTGCAACATCCTGGTAAATCTTTTCTGAACCCTCTCCAGCTTAAGAATATTCTTTCTATGATAGGGAGACCAGAACTGGACACAGTACTCCAGAAGAGACCTCACCCACATCCTGTACAACCTCAGCATAATGTCCCAACTCCTATACTCAAAGGTCTGAGTAATAAATGCCTTCTTAACCACCCTGTCTGTGTGATACAAATTTCAAAAAATTATGTACCTGAACCCCTAGGTCTCTCTGTTCAACAATACTACCCAAGGCCCTGCTTTTAATTTTGTAAGTCGTGTCCTTGTTTGTTTTATGCAATACCTCGCATTTATCCAAATTAAACTCCATCTCGCTGTTCTATAGTTGGGCTCAAATGAAAACTATTTTGACCACTCAGAAGATGCATTGACAAAACCAGAGCATGAAATAGCCTTTTGTTTCCTTGCTGGGGGGTGGCTAAGACAATCAAGGTGTGCCTGTAGTGTCCATCAAGGACAGAGTATTCCATTAGTTAGGAACCTGGTGCACAGTGACAATATACTGTTTGCATAATGCGCTGGGGCAATTCAGCAAGGCCCCTTCAATGCTACCTGCTAAACCTGTATTGTCTTATCACCTTGAAAGACAAGGGCAACAGATCAACAAGAACACCATAGAGTCATAGTCGTTCACAGGATCTTCAGCCCAACTTGTCCATGCTGCCCAGTTTTCACAAGTTTCACCAGTTGCAAGTTCCCCTCTAAGTCTCGCACCTTCCTGATCTTGGAAACAGAGTCATACAGAACGGAAACAGACCCTTTGGTCCAACCAGTCCATGCCAAACATAATCCCAAACTAAACAAATCCTGCCTACCCTCTCCAGGCCCATATCCCTCCAAACCTTTCTTATTCATGTACTTATCCAAATGTCTTTTAAGCTTTGCAATTGTACCCATATCCACCATTTTCTCAGGAAGTTCATTCCACATGCAAACCACACTCACTGTAAAACAAAAAAAAATTATCCCCTCATGTCTTTTTTAAATCTCTCTCCTCTCACTGTAAAAATGTGTCCCCTAGTCTTGAAATCCCCCATCCTAGGGAAAAGGCACCAACCTTTAACCCCATCTATACCCCTCATGATTTTATAAACCTGAATAAAGTCACATCTTGACCTCTTGCGCTCCACTGAAAGAAAGTCCCAGCCTTTCTTAATAACTCAAACCTTCCATACCTAGCAATATCCTAGTAAATCTCTTCTGAACCCTGTTCAATTTAATAATATCCTTCTTATAAGAGGGAGACCAGGACTGGACACAGAAGAAAAAAAAGGAAAAAAAAAAAAGGCTTCATCGGAGGCTGCACTGATGATGTTACCCAGCATTGTAACGAAACGTCTGCGGAACAACAAACCAGCTCGGCGAGCCAACCAACCTCAACACCCACAATCCATGCTACAAATCTACTCCAAGACTTCAGAAAATAAAGAGCTATAATGTCAACAATTAGTTCTCCTACCCATTGGTGCAATCATCATACGTTTCTCAAAAACAATGAAAAACATTTACTTTGAAATCAAATTTAGCTCAAGGGATGATTTAAGAATACGAGAACAAAACAGGAGTGTCGACCAACATAGCCTGTCAAATGTGCACCACCATTCAATAGGATCTTTGGCCTCAACTCCACTTTCCCACTTGCTCCTCATTTCCCTTGATTCCCTGTTCAAAGCACCAAAATCCTGTCTCAGCCTCAAATAGATTGCAAGATGAAGCATCCACACTACGCTAAAGACTTATAATTCTTTAAGTGTACTATTTTCTCCTCATCTCGATCCTAAATGATTAGCCCCTTATCCTGACAAAGTCCCAATTCTAAATTCCCCAGACCAAGAGAAACATCCATACCGTATTTATTCTGTTAAACCTCAATCTATGTTTCAATTAAATAACGGGAGGTTCCACTACTGATCATTGAGACACTCCATTATTCACAGCCTGTCAATTTGAAAATGACCTATTTATGTCAACTCTTTGCTTCTCGTCCATTAACAAATCCTTTAACCATGCAAATATTAAATTAACTCCATAAACCCGCAACTTGTACATCAGCCTTTGGTGTGGCACCTACTGAATGTCTTTTGAAAATCCAAATACAGTAAGAGTGAAGATGACAAATGGTACACAAATGTAAAAAATAGGAACAGGAGAGGGCCATTCAATATTATCATACTACCAAAATGTCAGCCTTCATGGGATATCTGTCTTCACGTAGGTAAGACTCAAGTACAGGAGCAAGGATACCTTGTTGTGATTAGAACAGGGCCTTACTATCCACACCTGGGAGTACTGTGCATTTTGGTCACCCTATTGGAGGATGAATGTTCTGACTATGGAGGAAGTGCAACACACGTTTGCCAGACTGATTCCTGAGCTAGCAGGACTGAGGTATGAAGATAAACCAGACCAGTTAGGACTGCATTCACTGAAATTTAGAAGGTGAGGAGGGTGTGAGCGTGCCAAGGGGAATCTTAGATCTAAGAAATTTGAATAGGACTAGAGAGATTAAATGCAAAAGGATGTTTCTTACAGACTAAGGTAGGCCACTTACAACTGACAGAAATTTCTTCACTGACACTGGCATGCTGATGTCGATCACAGTACATCAGAAGGGCTGTGTGCACAGCTTAAAAGGGAACATTGCCCAGACAGTGGTCAGCCTGCGGAATGCTTTGCCACTGAAGCAGTTGAGGCCAAAATGCTGAATGTTTTAAAGGGGCCAGATATAGGTCTTGTGGGGAGGAAGTGGGAACAGGCTGTAACAGACTCTTTGGTCCAATGGAGTGGGATGATCAGTGGTGATTGTCGTGATTGACGGAACAGGCTCGAAAATTTCTGGTCCTATTTTCCATGCTTTGAGTCATTTACTCTATTATTGCAGTGTCAGAAAACTGGTAAGTTTATCAAACAAGATATCCCATTTGTAAAACCATGCTAACTTTGATCGTTATTAATTGCTCCGTAATCCACTATCTTGATTATACTTCAGAAAAAAAACATTTCAAGTCTACACATATTGCCTGAGTGGCTTGGAATCAAATACCAAATGCATGTTGGGAGACACTGGAAGTGAAATTCAACAAATAGTAACAACGTAAACTACCTACAAGATACACTGCAGCAACCACCCAAGCTTCTCACAAACCTGGGCCCTCCACCACCTGAACGACAAGGGTTGATGCAGCTAAACATAGCCACCTGCAGTTGACCTCCAAGTTACACACTGCATGTCTTAGAACTTCACTGATCATTCTTTCAGTCTTTCCATTCAAAAACCTGCAACTCCCTCCTAACACTGGGTGCACCTACATCCCAAGTACAGCAGCAGTTAAGGTGACACTTCGACACCACTTTTAATGGCAATCAATTTGGAGAAACAGCACATAAGGCTACAGTGAAAAGGCAGAAGGATGGCATCAGGTTTAAGAACTTAGAGCCCATGCAGACTCAATGGGTCAAACGGCCTCCTTCTGCACTACAACAATTCTGTGGTCAAGGATGGGTAGTAAACACTGGCCCAGCCAGTGATGCATATATCCCATGAACAAGTAATTTAAAAAAAACCCACATAGCATGCTATACAGTGTACCAGTCATTAAAGTGAATGAAAAGTGCCACAGGAACATAGAGTCTGCCACATAAGCAGCATCCCATAGTGCTGCTCATCTCCAGAGAAATGGTGCAAGTCCCACTGTGCCCACTAGAAGCTATGCTACGCAAATTAGTTTTTCCTCAATTATATTTCTTTGTAATGAGGCCCCAACCTGGATTTAAAAACACTGCCTGAATCCAGTTTTTATTCAATATCACTTAAAAAGATTCTCAGTCAGACAATTGCAACACAGTACCTGGCAGTTGGAGCTCAGTGCAAATTTGGCCAGGGCACTGGCTTTGGATAGATCAATTAGCAGCAAGAAGAAAGGCAAGGCTTCACTGTGAAGAAATATTAATTTAGAGTTACTCTTGGTATAAATATTCCTGTGAAACCCATTAAAAAAAACTTAGCCATTTTGAATCCTTCAGTTAGAGGACAGAATGTCACCAGTGGGCAAAATGTGTATTCCACAAATGGCAATGGCTGCATGATCAGTTGTTAATTCTAAATGTCAGTTTGATTTTTTTTTTTAAAAACAGCAAATAAAGATATTCAGCAATAGAGGCTAAAGTATATGGAGTTAGACCACAGATCAGCCAAAATCTCATTAAATGGCAGAACAGACTTGAGGGACTAAATAGCCTACTCTTGCTCTTATTTTTGCTCATGGAATTCGGCATACGTCAGCCAGCCATTGAGGGTATGTTGCATTTGAAATGCCATTGTTTGGACAAGGTGTTAAAATGAAGGCGTGTTTGCCTTCTTTCATTATTCCAACATCCAGGCAATTCTCCTGGTGTACAGGACACCAGTAATCTCTGAATCAACATGTGAATGAATAAAACTGGTTATTTACTACTTCATTGCCTTTGAAGACCTTAAATTTTCACAAGTTGACTGTCACATTTTCTACACAACTCTCAATAAGCTATGAAACACTTTAGAACTTACAAAAGTCGTGAATGACAGTAAATAAGTGTCAATTCATTTCATATTGTCTACTTACTTGCAAGTGTAGCTATTGGTCACTTAAGAGGTCAAAAGGTTGGACATTCTATTCACTATTGAACACAATCTGGTCTTTTGCTAAATGTAATTTTATTATACGAGTGCAAATGGTAGCCCTAAAAAGGTACAGCTACACAATCATGACATGAATGTATTAGCATATCCAAACATACCCCATGCAAAGTGTTGAACTGTGGATCATCATACTCACTTGAGGCCAGTTAGTTCTTTATCCAGAAAATGAATTACAACAGTGCTAAAAACAAAGCTGGAGAAAATGGTGAAGAGACCAGCAATCCCTAAAAGAATAAATTTAAGCCAACATTAAATTGCATAATTACACCATATAAACAGGCATATATAAACAAATGCAAGTGTCAGCTGCATTCAAGGACATGCACTCAGTCACTGACCTAGCATATACTTGGAACCAAGTTGTCGGAGGTTCTGGAATTGGAAGTATATGTACAAGATTGCTAAGCAGCGCGTGATGGTCAGTATTATGATATCACTACTTAATATCTCCTATGAAAACAAAAATCACAAGAGTGAAATTTGGTCAACACAAACAATTAATAGTCAGTTAAAGGACAAGATATGCTAATGAGCTCTTTATCGTAAGGCATTGAAAGCTAGCATACAATTTAGCAAAGAAATTCAGGAATCAGACTGTTAGCTGTTACTGAAAGGGGATTGGAGTACATGAGTAAAGAAATCGTTCTTCACTTGTACAGTAGCTGGAATTTTGTGCACAGACTCGTTCCCATGCCCAAGGAAGGACATACTTGCCAAAGAGGAGGTTTTCTTTTACATATAGTCAGTCATGGGATGGGAATGTTACTGACAGACCAGCATTTAATGCCCACCCCTAATTACCCCAAGAAGGTGGCAGTAATTTATGTAGTGTAGGTATACCCATATCATTGTTAAGGAGGGAGTTCCAGGATTTCAACCCAGAAATACTGAAGAAACAGAGATGCATATTTCCAAGTCAGTAAGGTGAGTGCATTGGAGATGGTGTTCCCATATAGCTGCTACCCTGGTCCTTCAAGGTGGAAAATCATGTGTTCAACACTATTGCATTGACAAGTATTTAGCATGATGATCATGGCATTGATTTCTGATTCCCAAAGTTGGTGCTGTGCACCAGACTTGAAGGTCCACACAGCTGCTAAGAAAATTAGAGGGAAAGCTGCTGACAATTCTCCAGGAACCCTTATATTCCGGGGATGTGCCAGAGGATCGGAAAACTGCCCATGTAACATCTTTATTTAAACAGGATAGTTGACAAAAAATTTGGGTAACTATAAGCCAGCTAGGTTAACATCGGTTATTGCAAAAATATTTGTGTATTAGCTGAGCATTTAGAAATACATAATATAATCAAGCAGAGTCAGCATGGCTTCAAGAAGGAAGATGCCTGAAAAATATTTTAAGTAGGATAGATAAAGGGGAAGCAGCGGGTGCAATATATTTGGATTTTGAAAAGACATTTGATGAGGTACCACATTAGCTTGTTTGAAATAAGAGCCCATTGTACTGGAGTCATATTGGCATGAAGAGACGATTAGCTAACTGATAGAAGAGAGAGTTAGGATAATATTGCCATCTTAAAAATGGCCCCAGAGTGCCTAGGGATCAGTTCTGGAGCCAGAATTATTTACAACATACACTCATTATCATTGAAGTCATGAATACAAGAATAGCCAAGTTTGTGGTAGGCAAGGCAGCAAATAGTGAGAATCAGAGTCTGTAGAGGGATGTAGACATGTTAAACAAGTGGGCAAAAACGTGGCAGATGGAATATAATGTGGGGAAACGTGAGGCTGTGCATTTGGCAGGAGGAATAAAGGAGCTGAATATTATTTAAGTGGAGAAAGACTGCAGAAAGCTACAGAGGGATTTGGTAAAAGTATTTGTCCATGAATGACCAAAAGTTAACAATGTTCATCAGGTAACAGGGAATGCAAATAGAATGTTGGCTTTTATTTCAAAAGGGAATACAGTTGAAAAGTAGGAGGTTTTGCTAGAAACCACACAGGGCACTAGTCAGGCCACAGCTGGAATACAGTGAAAGCTCTGCGCCCCTTATGTGAGGAAAAATATGCTGTATTGGAGATAGCCCAGAGAGGGTTCACTAGACTGATATTAGGTATGGAGCAACTGTCTTATGAAGAGATATTTGGTAGATTGGGCATGTATACATTGTAACATGGAAGAATGAGAGGTGGCCTTGTTGAAACATACAAAATTCTTACAGGACTTGACAGGGTAGATGTAGAAACGCAGTTTCCCTCTGTAGGAGAGGATCTAGGACCAGAGGGTACGATCTCAGAATAAGGGGTTGCACATTTAACACAGGAGGAATTTCTTCTGAGGGTTAAGCATCTGTGGAATTATTTACCACAGAGAGCGTCAAGGCTCGTACATTAAGAATAATTAAGGCTGAGATAGGCAGATTTTTAATCATTAAGAGTTACGGGGGGGGGGGGTGGTGGCGGCGGTAGGAAAGTGGAGTTGGAGTTGATGATTATCAATTCAGCAAAATCTCATTGGAAACAGAGATCTTGCTCTACCATTCAAATTTCAACCCTTCTCACATTAAACTGATCTATCTCTGATTCTTTACATCCGTTTATCGATTTCACAGTTTCCATTTGAGGACAGGCTGTCCACCAATATCCGTTATAAACCCACTGACTCAGTTACTTTGATTACACCGCTTCACACCTTGCTTCCTGCAAGGATGCCAGTCTCAGTCTCATCTATGCTCATAATGAGGCCTTCTACCAGAATGCTTCTGAAATGATCTTTTTCCATAACACAGGATCCTCAACCCAACTGTGGTTATCAGGTTGGACTCAGCTGAAGACTATCTCTGCACTTTTGCCCTCACCTCTTTCCAGAACAATGTGGGGGTCCCTTTGTCCTTAAAATTTCCATCCCACGAGTCTCCACATTCAAAAAAAGAATCATCCTCTGTCAATTCCACCACCTACAGCACAAGTTGCCAAACAACTTCTCCTCCCTTCAACCATCAGCATTCCACAGGCACCATTCCCTCTATGACACCCTGGTCCACCCCTCTATCATTCTTAACACTTCCTCACTCACCCACCCATGATATCATCCCACGTAATTGCAGATGTCACACTTGCCCACCCACCTCCTCACTGCTCAAGGCTTCAAACACCTTCCAAGTGAAGCAACGTTTTACTATTTTCCCCCAAACCTAGTCTACTGCATTCGCTGCTCACAGTGCAGACTCCTTTACATTGGCAAGCAAACACAGCCTTGGTGACCATTTTGTGGATCACTTCCACTCTGTTGGCAGGAATGATTCTAACTTTCAGTTGATTGCCAATTCAATAAAACCCTTGTTCTAATGCCAATATTTTTATCCTGGCCTTGTCACAATGTTCCAACAGGCATAACGCAAGCGCAAGGAACACCACTGCAGTTTATGCTTAGCCACTTTACAGATGAGATCTAAACACTGAATTCCATAACTTCAGAAAGTGACCACATATTGTTTGGTCTCCACCTCTTATTCTGTCCTGCATCCTACAGCCTTGTCTTACTTGTGTCTTTAAAAAAAAAAGACAAGGAGGATTATTCCAATGTTGAACAACTGTTTAATTCCAGAAGATACCAAGGGAGCTATGTTCCAATGCAAGAGTCACAACAGGTTGGCGCCCACGTACAGCAAGTAGTGAATGTGAATGTGAATGTGAATGGAATGCTTTCCCTTGAGGGGAACTGAAAATTGAAGGAAATTATGCCTTTGTTGTACAGAGCATTAGTATTCAAGATACAGTCTCACCTTGTGCCATTTTAGTCTTCTTACCTAAGAACAGATGTAAACATATTACAGGCACAGGTCAAAGGAGCTTTATTAGATTGATACCTGGAATGTTCAAGTGGTCTTGAACAAATAAGCAGCTGTAATTGTTTTCACTAGCATTTAAAGGAACGAGCGGTGATTTGATTGAATTTTATAAAATCCTGAAATGGTCGTGACAAGGTGAATGTAGAAAGGATGTTTGGAGTAGTCCAGAACTAGGAATCACCGTAGTTTTTAGTAATTAGGTGTCACCTACCTAGGAGAGAGGGGACGGGAATTATTTTGACGGTTGTGTGACTTCAGAACTCTAAGATAGCGGAGGCAGGGCCATTGAAAATTTTTAGGGCAGAGATAGATAGGTTGGCAAGGGAATCAAGGTTATCAGGGAAAGATGAGACCATGGAATTCAGAACGAACAGACCACCCATGACCTTACTGAATGGCAAGGCAGATGTGAAGGGCTGAATAGCCTACTTCTGCTTCTAATTCTTTTCTTTGTATCTACATTTAGATGGATGCTTTGATTTCCACAAAGGAAGGGATGGATACGCACAAGTATCAAGTCTCACTCAACTTAGGAGTGAGGAAGGAATAAAATCTCGGTAAGGAAAAGATACTTATACTTGATCAGTATGTTATCTGTAATCTGTCACAGACAAAAAACATTTTACAAGGAATAACTAAAAGGCTTCTCTAACATAGAAATACAAAAAAAATGTAGACCATACAGAATGCAAAGGATTTTATGGGAACAACAAAAGCATTTGAAATTATTTACATTCACACCTTTCCAGAGTACGGTTAGTTTAGAAAGCAGCAACACCAAGTATTTTACTTAAAGTTTCACAGTAATTTAAATATATAGCTTTAAAACTACAGGGTTTAAATATTAAAGTGTAAATAACTCCTTTTACATAATCTTGAAAGAAGCTTCTTTAAATTGTGTTCAAAGCTTTTTGCACAACTCTACTGGTTTTCAATTATATTAGCAGATGTCCCTTGTGAAACCAGAATATAAAAACTGCTAAAGTCAGTCTAGCTTTAAAATGCTAACTAGATTATAAGGAGCCCAGGAGAGGGTAAATAGTTGTGGTAGAGTTCTTACCTCCTCAATCTTTGGACATTCAAAATTCCATCCACAAATCTGATTATTGCCAGTAAACATATTCATGGACATCATGCAAATAGTAATTGTGACTGTTCCGACAATCACCTCCCAAGGGTGGGAGGCAACAAAAAGCCCATGCATGCGGAACAGCCTGGACAGCATTTTTAATTTTACCTGTTTGGGAAGATAGAAAATTAGTAAAACATAACATTTTTAAAAAAAAAAAAATCATATTTATTGGCATCAATGATATTTGGAAGGAACCAGAAAGGAATTAAAAAGAAACCCCAAACAGAAACAGGCCATTCAGCCTGATTCCACTCAATAGGATCAGCCATGATTATATCTCAATGTTATATTCTCACTTTCTCTCCATATCCCTTGAGGCCTTAATATCTACAAATTTGTCAATTTTTTTTCTTGAACATACTCTTATGGTCCAGCCTGCAGCACACCCTGTGGCAGTGAAGAAATCTTCTTATCTCATTCTCAAGTGGCCTACCCTTTATTCTTAGGCTGTGACGCCAGGTCTGGATTCCCTAACCAGGTAAAGCCTCCTTCCTGCATCTAGTCTGTCTGAAATGTTTAAAATATTAAAAAGGGCAATCAGATCCCCTCTCATTCTTCTGAGCAGTACTTCAAATGAGCCTGTATTCACAAGTCTCTCTTCCTGCAACTGCCATTCCCAGTATCAGCCTCATTAACCAAGGCTGCCCTTCCTCCATAGGAGAAGCATGCCATTTTATTAGCCCCAAGCCCACGTGCTTTACTTCTGCCTACCAACCTCCTATGTGGGACCATACCAAAAGCCTTTTTGAAATCCAGATAAACCACATCACCTGGTTCGCTTTTATCTTTTCTACTAGCTACATCCTCAAAAAAAATTCCAGTGGATTAATTTTGCTTGCTTTCTCTTTCATAAACTTGTGGATACACTTTGTCAAATGCTTTTCAAAGTGTTCTCTTATCCCATCTTTTATAATAGACTAAATGTATTCCAGTTTGCTCAACTCTATTGATATTCTATAGTTCATAAGACAGAAATAGGCCAGCGTCTCAGCGAGATCATAGCTGATCAGGTAATTTTCAACACCACTTTCCTGCCTTTATCCCATGGCTTTAGATTACCTTGATGGATTGAAAAATCTGTATTTCTCAAACTTGTATATACTTAACAACCCAGCCTCATGGCCCTCTGCGATAAAGAATTCCATAGATTCATGACACTAAGAAGAAATCCCCCCTCATCTCCATCTCAACTTCTTCTTAGAGTGTTCTATCATTTAGAAAAAACATGGAATTCTTATTTTCTCCACAAGTTCCCAATTGATCAAGTGTATCCTAAGACATTGTGGGAAACTAGGGAAGAAATTGCAGGACTCCGAGCAGTGATATTTGTACCATCTATAGCCATGGGTGCGGTACCGGAAGACTGGAGGGTGGCTAATGTTGCACCCTTAAGAAAGGCTGCAAAGAGGTGCCTGGAAACTTAGATCAGCGAGTCTGACGTCAGTGGTGTGTAAATTGTTGGCGGGAATTCGGAGGAACAGGATTTACATGCATTTGGAGAGGCAAGGACTGATTAAGGATAGTCAGCATGGTTCTGTGCGTAGAAAATCATATCTCACAAACTTGAATGCGTTTTTAAGGATCTGACCAATAAAATAGATGAGGGCTGAGCGGTAGACATTGTCTACGTGGACTTTAAGGCCTTTGACAAGGTTCCGCATGATAGACTGGTTAGTAAAGTTGTATCACATGGGATTCAGGAACAGTTTGCCAATTGGATACAAAATTGGCTTAATAGTGGAGATAGAGGGTGGGGTGGACGATTGTATTTCAGACAGTTGTCGTGATGCAAAGATAACAATCTGTCTCTCAATATCAGCAAAAATAAAAACTAAAAAGTGCTGATCTTCGACTTCAGGAAGAAAAGGAGGTGGTCACATGCATCAATGGAACGGAGATGAACAGGTTCAACTACTTCAAGTTCCTGGGAGTGACAATAACCAACAATCAGTCCTGGACTACCCACGTAGATACAACAGTCAAGAAGGAACAACAATACCTCTTCATCCCCAGAAGATAGAAATTCAGCATGTCCATAAGAACCCTCACCAACTTTTACACATGCACCATATAAAGCATTCTATCTGCATGCATCACAGCTTGTTACAGCAACTGCTCTGCCCAGGACCATAAGAAACTACAGAAAGTTGAGATCACAGCCCAGACAATCACACAAGCCAACTGCCATCTATTTATTAAATCAAACTTCTCGCCACCGTGGAAAAGCAGCCAAAGACCTGTCCCACCCTGGTTATAATCTCTTCCGATCTCCCCTGTCAGGCAGAAGATACAAAAGCTTAAACACACATACCAACAGGTTCAAGAACAGCTTCTTCCCCACTGTTATTAGACTGCTTAATGACCTCTCAAATTTCAAATCTAATATGCTGATCTCACTTTTGTACACCTTCTGTGCAATCATAGCTTTGTACGCCTCACCCTGTGGTCTGTATGTCCTTGCATAATATGATCTGCCTGTACTGCATGCAAAAACAAAAAACTTTTCACTGTACTCAGGTACATGTGACTAAAATCGAATCAAGGATTGGAGGCTTGTGACCAGCGGTGTTACACAGAGATCAGCATCGGGTTCACTGTTGTTTGTCATTTATTTAATGATTTGAATGAGAATATGGGAACCATCGTTAGTAAGTTTGCAGATGACACCAAAGTTGGTGGTATAGTCAGCAGTAAAGAAGGTTATCTAAGATTACAAAGGAGTGGAGATAGTTTAATTTAAATTAAACGTGAGGTGTTGTATTTTGGTAATATGAACAAGGACAGGACTTACACAGTTAACGATAGGGCTCTGGGGAGCACTGTAGAATAGACAGACTTGGGAGTTCAGGTACATAGTTCATTAAAAGTTGCACCACAGGTAGAGACGGTGGTTAAGGTGGTGTTTGGCAGACTTGCCTTCATTGGTCAGACCGCTGATCTTAGGAGTTGAGACATCATCTGTGTGCAGGACGTTGGTGAGGCCACTTTTGGATTACTGCATATAGTTCTGGTCACCCCACCATAGGAAGTGTACTATTAAATAGGACAGGGTGCACAGAAGATTTCCAAGGATGTTACTGGGACTGAGGGTTTGAGTCATAAAGAGACAGAATAAGATGGGATGTTTTTCACTGGAGCATCGAGGGCTGACCTTATAGACGTTGAAAGGTGAATAGTAAAGATCTTTTCCCTAGGGTTGGAGATTTCTAAACTAGAGGTCATAATTTTAGGGTGAGAGGAGAAAGATTTAAAAAGGGGCCTGAGGGGCAATGTTTTTCTACGCAGCACGTGGTCTGCATGTGGAATGAGCTGCCAGAGGAAGTGGTAAATGCAGGTACAGTTACAACATTTAAAAGTCATTTGGACAGGTACATGAATAGGAAGGGTTTCAAATGCAGGCAAATGGAACAAGTGTCGTTTGGGAAACTTGGTTGGACCAAAGGGTCTGTTTCCATGCTGTAAGATTATTATGTACTTCCCATGCTGCAGCCTCTAATCTTGCTCTGAAATGATCAGCAAGAAACATGCAAGTTTGGCTTACCTGCCATCATAAGACCTTAAAGATAATGCAATATAAAATTTTCCTGCACCACCAAGTCTCTAACTTGCACAAAACAAGAGCTTTCTGGGACAGATAATTCCAAAGGGTTACCCATTAGAGTGAAAAAAAATTCATTCTCAACTCATCTTAATTAGCTCGCCCTTACTTTGCTTTCCTGGATCTAGGCTCTCCAACCAGGAGAGAATATCCCATTTTAATCTATCTTGTGGAGCCCTTGAAGATTTTTTTAAAAAATTCACTCGTGGGACGTGGGGGTCACTGGCTGGGCCAGCATTTCCTGTCCATCCTTAGTTACCCTTGAGAAGATGATGATAGAGTCTTCTTGAACCGCTGTAGGTAGACCCATAATGCTATTAGGGAGTGAATTCCAGGTTTTTCTAAAGTTCCAGTAAGATCACCTCCTTTTATTTTAAACTCTAGAGAAAACTGGCCAAGTCTTTTAATCTTTCCTCATAGGAAGTAGTTTGGTGAACTTTCAATGCATTCCCTCCATGGCAAGTGAATCTTTCTGGCACTTACCAGGATGAGTGCAGCACCAACGATATTCAAGGCGCTTCACACTATCCAGTATAAAGCAGCCCACTTGATTGGCATCACATCCAGAAGCATCCACTCCCAATGCTCAGTAGCAGCAGTGTGTACTATCCACAAAATGCACTTTTCAAGCTAATGAACCTTCCATTTAGAAGGGCAAGGGCAGCACATAGATGGTTCACTCCCACCTGAAAGTTCCTCTCCAAACTGCTCACTATCCTGACGAAGATATATCACCATGCCCTCACAGTCACTAAGTCTAAATCCTAGCATTCCATTCTCTACAGACACTGTGGGTCTACCTACACCATGTGGAATGCAGCAGTTCAAGAAGGTAACTCACTACCACCATCTCAAGAGCAACTGAGGGCAGGTGATAAATGCAGGCCAGCAGCAATGCCCACACCCTGACTGAATGTAAAAAAATGAAAAGATCTTGAAAATAATCTGCATAATTGCAGCAAGACATCTTTTCTCTTATACTCAAATCCTCTTGTAATAAAACGGTCAAATAATTTGCCTTGTTTGTTGGATCTGCACATCAACTTTCAGTGATTCCTGAACAAGGCACCCAAGTTCCTCTGAAGTCCAATGCTTCCCAAACTCAACAAATGAGAAGCAAGTTGAATTTGTTTTTCCTACCAAAACAGTTAAACTCCCTTCATCTGCAAATTTGAAAAAATTACGGTTAAGCATCTCCACAAACTAAGTAAAGAAAATCCAAACAAATCATGCTTTAAATGATCACTGCACTGACTAGCAGCATGTACTTTAGTAATTACTGTATGTTGCATCATCTAAGAAAGGAAAGACACACAACTTAAGGAGTTTAAGATTAACTAAAGGTCACTGAAGTTATTCCACTGGTGAAGGAGACTTTACAAATTTAAAAAAAAAATTGATACGGTAGGAGACCATTCAGCCCAATGTCTATGCTGACTCTGCACAATAGCTTGTCGCACTCCCTTGTCTCTGCAAATTTATTCAGATAATCATACAAATCAGAT